GTTATAAATAATACGACGATTATTTGCGAATTTGTTTTTTTTTCGTACGCATGAAATATTCTTCTTAAATACATACGGAAACGTAAGACCAAATCTAAGTGTAAAGTTTCCTGCAAGACTCGCGCATTGTTATACTTTTACGCGAGAGCTCGATACGTCAAATCAAAATCGCGACTACTTATATCTCGTATGCATGGGCTTAATCAGCTTATGTTCGAGACAACGCGCCAGAAAACGGAATGTAAGCTTGGGAAGTTACGTAGGACTTACGTTTTGTATTCTGCGTTTTTTAGGTGTCTTACGTATACTTGCGTTCGCCAGGCTTAACCGATGTTTTCATTTCTACAAACTGGTAAGTTAACTAGTTTATGTGTTATTGCAAGGTTGTATGGCTAATGTCTGTGTGTGTTAATAAGTGTAAGGTTGTATGGCTAATGTCTGTGTGTGTTAATAGTGTAAGGTTGTATGGCTAATGTCTGTGTGTGTTAATAGCGTAAGGTTGTATGGCTAATGTCAGTGTCTTTTAGGTTCAGTTCTTCGGCTACATGGAAGAGCAGCTAGGAGGGACTGCTAATGTGTTCAGGTATGGAAGGGAAATCGCTAGTTAAATAGTGTATCTTCGTTCATCCATCGGTCCTATAGACAATGTGCACCCACGCCATGTTGTGCAGCAAGGTATGATGGGAGTTTTCCTCCTCAGTCGTTTTTGCTTTTTCGTTGCAAAAATTGAAGTAGCTGTTCCGTTTTTACAAAGAAAACAGGGAGAGTTTTAAGCGACTCAAATAAGTACGAGGAACAAAACAAAAACATGCTTTGCTGCACAAAATAGCGTCCTTTCAAATTGCCAGTGATAAGTCAATACCATTTAATTTTCCAGGCAGCTKAAGTTCGCTGTTTACATGTGTATATTCACACACTATGTTGCCTGTGGCTGGTTCATTTTATCCTGTAAAGGCCTTAGCACTGGTTACCACAGCTGTACATCGACATCATGGGTGTCAACMCTCGACCAACCCTTAGGTATGAAGCCATTTCTTCATCACACTTCGTATAAAGTCATATTTAACTGCAGAGCTCAATATGGTAGTTTTAAAACTACTTTAATATGCAAACAGCCGTCAACGGCGAAACTTCATGCAGAAATACAATACCACATTAAATTTTTGCCTTCAAAAGTCTTAACTTTTCTATTATATGGATGCATTTGTCGAGATAAAATAGCAATAGCAATTTTACTTTATTGCTCTTTTTGGTATTGACATTTTGTACCCACGCGCGAGGCCGTACAGCGCTATGTTATTAAACTGATATACAAGGAAGTAGTTTTAAATCGATATTAGTTTATTCAGTAAATTGGTTTCCCTGTGGTAGGRTATAATGACACTGTGATTGAGCGTTATGTGACCTCGCTCTACTGGGCAGCGGCTACATCTGTGTCTGTTGGTTATGGTGATCTGCATGCGATTCTTGTCGAAGAGGTGGGTTGGGTCTGCAATTTTTATCCATCTATTCGTTCATCCGACCATCCATCCACCTACTCAATCAATCGATTAGACATTCAATCATTTAATCAGTCAATCGAGTAATAGTCAAACAATCAATCAATCGCTAAGACAACCAATCAATCAATCAATCATTTCATCAATCAATCAATCAGCCAATAATCTATCAACCTATCAATCAAACCATCAATCTGTCAACCAATCAATTAATCAATCAACCAATCAATCAACCAATTAATCAATCAACCAATCAATCAACCAATTAATCAATCAACCAATTAATCATTCAATCAATCAATCAATCAATCAATGGATGTATTCAATCGTTTCTTCATTTACTCTTTATTCATCTAACCATCTCCTTTTCAATTCTATTTATTTTCTGTTCATCTAGATGACCTATGCTCTTATCTGCATGATCATCGGTATCGTGTTCTATGGTTTTATTATCGCTAGTGTTGCCGCCGGTCTGGCTAATGCTGACGCACAGCGAGCTCGTTACCAAGAGCGCCTTAGTGCTATCAAGAACTTTCTACAGGTACATCGGGCCTTTTATCTTCTTGTCCGKAATAATGAGGTGTCCGKAATAMGGRRGTACMCMAGTTAACAGAGGTGTCCATGATATACGGGTTTTTGGAGGAAATAATTTAAATGTAAGTGACTTTTTCTTTCCATTAGGACCAAAGTGTGAACGAGAATCTATCAAACCGTATTATCAGGTAAGGAACCGAGTAATTCCCGAGCGTTTATCGATTAATTACGATATGCATGGATTTATAAATTCATGTGAATCATTAGACATAACTCCTCAGCATACTGAGTACTTATTGATTGGTSCGTTGTTCCGWAKAATTATCGATTTATTGAGATGTTCTCTTTTAGCCACTACGAGTACATATGGATTCGTAATCGYGGAATCGATCCAAGCTCGTTATTTCAAGGAATACCGTTCGCGTTGCAAGCTGATATTACGCTCAGTCTATACAAAGATGTCATCGAGAAGGTATGTCTGGGGGAGGGGTGCGTCATATATTTGTCTCAGGAGAGGGGTGCGTCATATATTTGCTATTTTTAGTATGTGATTGTGAAATCTTTGAAATTATGATCCAAATATTTTTTAAAGTTTTTTTTCAATATGTTTCTATTCCAGGTACCATTATTCCAGGGAACAGAGATCGGTTTCTTAAAAATGTTGTCAATTCATATTAAACCTGTGTACTTCCTGGCCAAGGAGTACGTTGTCAGGAAAGGAGACATTGGACAAGAGGTTTGTGGATATTTTATCCAAAACAATTTACGATTAATTGTAGTTATTCATCGAACGCAAAGATTTATAAAATCACAACCAACCGCTGTACCTTGCGAGCCGAATCGACATTGTAGGTGGACACGAAAATAGCGGATTCGTAGGATTTCTTAAAGTGAGCGCGAATCGTCTTCCGTCCTTCAGTTTGGACAGAAATACCTTTAACTAAGTACCTCGCAGGTACTATCAATCTATAATCTATTGAATTCTTGGCGCATTTAAACGTATGTAAACAATAACACGAGAGCGCGCTGTATTGTGGTTGGTTGGAATTCTTTAGAAACACCTTAAAGATCACGAACGTAGAGAGGCAGTCCATCTGTTCTCGAAAAATATTTACAAAAATTTATTAATCATTAATTAATCCTTTCGTTTTYCAGATGTACTTCATACATGAAGGTCAGGTCGAGGTTGTGTCTGAGCATGAAACACCTATCGTTTTTGATACCATGGGGTCGGGCAGATTCTTTGGCGAGATTAGTATTGTTTTCAGTTGTCCAAGGACCGCTTCTATCAGGTTTGATAAGCTTTTCTTTGAAGTAGTTTATCATTTCTATTCTATTCTGGTCAGAACATTTCTCTGCTGGGTTTCTTTATTTTGTGTTATTCTATTCCCTTTATT